AAAAGTAGGCATTCTAGAGGCACACTAAATAATAAGCTAAAGATAGAGTCTATTTACTCTTGGCTTGGTGTCGAGTTTCCTCCATTATTTAATTTCATTTTAAAAAGGGCCAATAATTTAGCCATTCTCAGCCTATCAAACAATGGTTATAAAGGTAAATTAATCGAGAAGTTTACTTGGAGTGGCATCCATTGAACATTCCTGTTTTGATTAGGTAGGGTCGCACTGAAGTAACTATAATTCGATCATCCAAGCCGACTTTTATAAGCTCCATCTCGAGGGAATCAAGCATTGATATTAATGCCGCTTTCGAAGCACAATAGTCAGAGAGCCGAGGAGCTGACACTTGGCCTGCAATTGAGGATATCGAGACAATATGGCCCCGGGTTGCAACATCCGAGTCGCCAGCATTGTGATTAACACTAAGTTCGTGGTCACAATCACATGAGCTAGGCTTAGAAAAAATGGCTGCGTCCTTAGTGTCCGAAGACAGGCAAGACCAAGATAAGAGATGTTTGTCATCTCGACCCAGCATGTCGGGCAGAAATGCTCGTATTGTCTTTGGAGAACAATCATAAAAGAGTTGAATTATGTTTATATAATGCAAGATAACAGGCTTATTAGCATAAAGTAACAAAATAGATCTAAGTCTCAATCACACCGCATTAAAAATCTATTTAACATATAATTAAGATGCAAAAATACGAAATGGATATATCGAAGATTTTTTCACAGGCGTATCAATTAATAAATCAAATTTTAGAGTGCAAAAATTTCATAAGCGCCTAAGGAAGGGATTAGGAAATGGAAGTATAGTGTAAAGAACTCGACGATATTCGTCTATGATGGCGGAACGATGTGCATATGCAAAGAAGTAATCGAATAATTTCCTAAAAGGCAACAGCTAAATTAGTGAAGCATGATGAGTATTTTTACACTGCAATATGGATACCAATCAAAACTGATTTCTAAATGGGAATTATAAAAGCAAAAATATTACTTAGAAGAGCATAGCGATCATTATTTAACCCAAAATTTTCGCTGAATAATGCAACTAAGGGACTAACAAAAGAAGAACATCCCGAAAAGTGGAAAGTTTCAAACTTAGGATTAGCAAACAAATATCTAGGCATATAAAGAATGTCGGGCGCAAAGTTTGCCTCAAATATATAAGCCTATTTATTTCAAGGCTCAAATTGAAATAAATAATATCATTGGGAAAAATTACCAGAAAGAGACAGGGCTAAATATATGAAGATCAGTACAGAGCACATGGAATCTAATTGTCCAGTGGGCAGATAAAACTATAAGTAGATAAAGAAGTTACATATAAAAATACCTCAAACTGGGAGAAAACATTGACCTTGAAGCAATTTTCAATATCTGAAGCTGTCAGATCCAAGAAATATTTCGCGTTTACGATCCCAGCATTGTTGACTAAAATGGTGACTTTCCCTACATTTTCCTTAACTATTTTAGCATTCAAATGAATCTGAACCTCTGATCTATACTAATATAATTAGAATTAAGGAATACCGAAGGTCCACTATAAAAGTATGAATTTTTACATCACTAGTTGAAAAGACGATATCATGTGTTTCCTTTAATCCTGGTCCGTCTATGTCCCAAGCCACAATATTTCGAGTATGTTTTGAGAATTCGATGCATAATTTACGCCCAAGACCATTCGCAGCACCTACAAAAGAATAATAAAGGTCTGAGGATTACCCGTGATTAAAACCAGATCATCTGAAAGATTGTAATCCGAGTTGGCAAACAAGGTCTTCATAAGATTATTAAAGAAGCAAAACAGTCTGGTATGCATAGAAAGGTCAGCAATAGATAGATAAATTCGATAGACTTTAGGTAGTAAAATT